AAATCAGCACAATCTTGCCATTAGGCTTATACATCTCCTTGGCTGCGGCTCCCGCGCCGCGCATTTGTGCGCCGGGGTGGTAATTGTGCCCCATGAGCCAACAGACTGACAATGAAGGGCCCGCTTTTGCGAGCGGGACGCACCGATATGTACCGTCGCCTCGCTCGAATGCATCTTCATACGTGTGGAACATGACCGATCAACACGCTCAAATGGCGAGCCGCCCCCCTCGTCGATTGGGGAAAACAAAACAAAAAAAGGCAGAGGCGTGCGTGGTATGGCGAGGCGGTTGCCACGGCAACCGCAAAAGCCTCTCTGGTCTCAAGGGTACGTGGCATCTGAAAATATGCGTCTGAGCATCCGACCGGCGCCGCCGAGCTTCTCATGGAGTCACCAACACGTCGATTGTATTCGGTGCACACCACAATTTTGCACATCTAAAGTGGACGATTGGGCCAAATTGTAGAATTTTTTTTTTTTCCTCCCTTTTGATCGTGGGTAACAAACTTTTTTTTTATTTTTATTTTTTTTATCATGGGCTACATCGCCGTTATGGTTTTCTTGGAACGCCATATTGACGATGAATCCTTCTCGATCTATGATCACCTTATCACATATAAACAAGATAACGTATAAAACGGTTTGGAAATCACAAGCCAGTAAAAAAATGGTTTGTTCTCTCGCATTTCAATTCATTTTAAAAGTGGGATTGGTAACAACAATGCTTGCAGCGTCTCATTGTTATTAAAAGTCAAAGAGATAATTTGTCATTTTGGGTATTGAAGAGATGCTGGGATCGGGGGGGGGGGGACGTCCACATTTTGCAAATCTGAAAAGTTGCTCAATAAACATATGCAAAATATTCCAACCAAGAGTTTTCATTTTCCCTTTTTACTGAAAATGAATATCCGCCCACAAATATCAGTTATCAGCCTCTTTCTCTACTAACAATTAGTGTCGATATTGACCCTGGAAATAAAAAAAAAAAAAAAAACTATCGGGCCGTCCCCCCCACCCCCCGGCGC